ACATTAAAATTATTGTCAGAAATAGAAAAAATTGAAGATTTTGTATAAGAATTCATAGTAATTTCAGTTTATGAGGCAAACAAAAAAGACGAAAATTCAGAATATTCTTATGAATTATAAAAATTTAATTTTTTCCAGTACTTTTAATAAAAATTCCTGACTTTCCCCTGAATTCCCTGAACTGTGGCAAGCCCGCTAGTTACGAAAAATTAATTTTGAAATAACATTTTTTTATTTAAACATATTCAACAATGTGTAGTTTAATTTATTTGTTATTTAATTGTAGAAGAGAATAATTTTTTCTTTTCAGTAAATACAAGAATATTGAAATTTCTCAACAATTATTTCATCAAGAGAGTTAAATTTGGCCTAAAGAACCTTCAATCTTTCAACAGAGTATTTAAACATTTTTTTTCTGCCCCCGTTGTCTCATATATTACCAGAGAGTTTTAAAAAAAACGAGAGAGAAAAGAATATTCAGAAAACATCTGATATTGCGTATAAAACTTTCGATTTTCGGAAATCAACTGGCAATGAGAAATGTGTGTGAGATAAATCGATCGTCTTTCTATATAAAAAGGAGAAGAGAGGTAAAAAAAAGGAAGAAGTATCGACGTTAATTTTGGTTTACGCAATCAGCCATTTACGAATATCACGCGTCCTGATGGCGCTTTGCGTTGACTCCAATTATCGAAAGATCGCGCCGGTCAGTGTGATTACATTTCGGCCTGACTTTCGCTGTTAATTAAGTCTGATATATGAAGTCAGTGAGAAGAGCGCAAGGGAAAACGATCAGAGTCGCAAACTCTTGAGAGCAATCAATTTCACAGACTGTTAGGGCCGATTGCATCGCCTTTGCACTCAGAGAAATGTTGCGCGCCGCGGTTGTATTTCGAAAAGTCACTCTCTTAATTAATCGATTCATTTCATAATTTAAAGTGCGTCTGCTCACTCATTAATTAAGTTTTGCACTAATTTATTTGCGAAACCGCACATCTTTCTTCAATTGACAAAAACTACTAATTCTTATTGTCTACTTTTTTCTTACTTTCATTCACCCGCAGGTGCACACTCTTTCGCATGCTAATCGAGATCCTTTGTTAACACCAAATCTAATAATTCAATTTCTCCCGAGGTTTTAACTATTCAGAAAATTTCCCAAAAAGAAAAACTATTAACAATTATTAAACACTTACCCTTTTATGTACTTTATTTTTCATTCTAACTCTATTAATTTTTAACTAAATTTACTTTCAACAAAAACTTGGACGATTAGAAACTTCAACACCAAAAAAGAAGCAAAGTTTGTTTCAAATTATTCTTTACTGAAGAGTTAGTTAATGCCGTTGGGTTGGGGAAGTATAATATAGTTAGTGAAAAGTTTGAGTAAAACTGTTTTGAAATTGTACTTCTTACAAATATCTGATTAACATTCTTGAATTTTAGATTTACTAAGTGAAAAGTTGTCAAAACTTTAAGGTTATGTCCTTTCTGGAGTTATTACTATTTTCGCAAAGAACAAACTTTTAACATTCTCTCTTTTTTTTGTTGCGTAAAGCACAATAAACTGTAATATAGAGTAAAGTAAATAAAATAAAACAAAACTTTTCATTAACGAACCATAATTTATACTGAGTTTGAAAGAAACTACTATACTCCAATTATCAAGTTTCCAGAGAGAAAGGATTTATTAATGAAAACACGTTATATCTAAAAGCGCAACTGTCAAAACCAGTTTACTTCCTACCTCATGTCACATTACTGATAATTCTCGACAAATCCATCCGTCATTTAAATGACATTATGACCAAACCCTTCCTAATTAATTAGGAGTAACTTCCACTTGCAATGTTTATATGAATTTTATAATTCATTTCAAACAAAACAATCGTTTCGATTTAGGCCAACTTTATGAATGAAACACAGTGACAATAGAGAATAAAAACAAAAGTAAAGCTGTCAAACGCCGCATATGATACACAAACCACCCCCCAACAAACATTGACACTTTGCACTATTATTTTTGAATGAAACATGAACGACACTCACCGATTAAAAGCACCGTAAGATGACTGTTGATACATCGATTAAATGGCAAGAGGTTAATAAATCCATAAAAATTAGTTGAATGAAACAAAGGCCTGGGCGTTTGAAGATCCTGCGATGCACGCTTGAAAATGGCTGGCACACATAGGAAACACCGCAAACACTTTGTGATGCACGCACAAACACCGGTTTTAATTTTAAATTTATAAAAAAACACGTCTCAAACACTTTGGATTTAAAAAAAAAATTTCAATGCCTCACTCAATGTACAAGCACTAGATTGACAAAATGTTACGGGCAAGTCAATTCGCCCTCAACTAACATGATACGGCGGCCATTACCGTACATTCGGGTTGGCAGCGAAAGCGTGTTTTTACTTCTCCGATCAACCAACACTCACACTCTACAAGATCGTTGAAGCGACTGACGAAGATTCTCTCAAATTCGGAGTACATCGCCATCTTGCGGGTGAGTCGAGAGGAGAATAGACGAAAGGACACGAAACTACTTCGGACAACTTCGCTGGCAGGAGCGTATTAAAAAGGAGCGCCACCCCCTTTTTTATAATGTCAATTTTACGCTATTTTCCCGAATGGAAAAAGGATTTTTAACAGCAGTTAAGAATGAAATGACCTGTTTTCATAGATTCGCGATAGCTAATCAATCGTTAAATTGAGAGTCTGTAAAAATGACATTTTCTTTATCGAATAATACATCTATGAATGGCGGTACTTTATTTGCCCTTTAAACGATAATTGACCGATTGGAATCTTTTTTTTATTTCAACTTTTTGAAATTGGTATTTAAAATCTAGTTATTTTCAAATAAAATACAGGGACACTATTTTATTATTTACTTCTAACTAAAATAATTTACCTCCCGGTTGAAATTTTCTCTAAATTCTCACATCACTGGATATTATTAAACTTTTAATTATAATTTCAATTCATACTTTGTTAATTAATCAAACAATATTCGGATTATTTGTTATTTGAAAAATTGCTTTTTTGAGGGAGAAATAACTCTCTCTCATTTAATTTAAAATAATAAAACTATTTTTCAAATTTGCATAATAATATTCATATTGCAAATTATTGGCCAATATTGAAGAATACAAATATTTATTATAAAATATTTGTAATTCTTGCAAATAATGAAATAATATTTTTAAAAATATTTTGAAATTCATAATTTGAAATATTTCAATGTATGTTTTGTTATTTGTTTCGAAATGTTTGAAAATACCTATTGTAAAAAATTGTATAAAAGAATAATAATTATGAATAATTAATAATATTTACAAATACATATTTGAAAAGTGTAATATTATAAAAGTAGAAATGATTTTAAGTAAAGCAGATAATTTCCGAATGAGAATTGATTTTTTCATTTCTTCTACAAAATTATTATTTGAATTTTATATTTTTACAATATTCTACGTCTGAGTGATAATTCTTGTCAAATCAATATAAATAAATTATAAATAAATAAAGTTTCATTATGAGAAGTTCTATTGTATTATAATTTAAAAATGAAAAAATTTTAGAAATTACTTTTAGACTATTGTTTCAAAAATTAAGAGAAATTAAAAATTTCTAAAAATATGAAACACTTTTTTTTCTCTATGTAAAAAGATATAAATATTTTTATAAACTACTTGCATTACTTGAAAATATTCCAAGAGAAGAAATTCCAACATTGGTGAAGTTCACAACGTTTATGATAAACAAATTAGGAGGAAAAATATTTATCTAATCAAATTTTTATATTTCGCATAAAATTTTTTTTTCTGAATTCGTTTGTTGAATTATTTTAAAAAGATAAATTTTGTTTTTTTAATTAAAAATATTTTTCTCATTTATCGTTGTTTATAAACGTGAACTTTAAAGATGTGAATTTCTCTAAAATTTTGAACGCTCGAATGAACGAAAAATTTCTATTTTCTACTTATTTATTAAATATTTTAATAACATTTTTCCAAAGAATTCAATTATTTTAAAACTTTTTAATAAAAATCTTCAAATAAATTCTATTATTTTCAATACAATTTTAATTAAATTTCTTTCAAGAATTAAATTTATTATTTTGAAACAATTTATTAAATTTCTTTCAAAAATTCAATTATTTTCATAAATAATAAAATTCTTCGCATGAATAATTTAATTACATTTCAATTATAGTACAATTACAATTAAAATAAAATTTCTCCAAATAATTCAATTACTTTAAAAAAATTTAATAACATTTTTGGAATGAATTAAATTATTTAAAAAATTTTGATAATATTCTTTATAAGAATTCAATTAGTTTCATAAATAATAAAATTCTTCGCACGAATTCAATTATTTTCAAAAATTTTAATTTATGGAAAGAATTAAATTATACTTCTAAAAATTTTCATTTAAAGTTATTAAAAAAGCTCCATTATTTTCAAAAAAAAATTCATTAAAATTCTTTAAAACAATTCAATTATTTTAAAAATTTTTAATAAAATTCACCACAAGAATTCAATTATTTTCAAAAATTTTGATAAAATTCTTAGCATGACTTCAATGATTTTCAATAAAATAATGGTAAAATTCAAAACATTTAAAAAGGAAAATTATTTAAAAAGTTAGAAAACATAAAAGCAATATAACGTCTATTGATATAGATTAATTAAATTAAATAAAATATTTTTTTACAAATTGAATTTAAATGAAAAAAAAAAAATAAAAAAGGAAAATACAAATAAAAATATTGTCGTTTATTTGAACGTTCAAAACTTTAAGAACTTGAGAAGAATTAGAAAAATTGTATATCATTTTTAAAAAATACTATTGATAACATAAAGTTGAAAATAAATTACTGTCATTGTTTAAATGTATTTGCAAATATTATACTTTAAGTAAATATTAATTCTTCCAGGGAATAATTTTTCTTATTAATAATTGTTAGTATCTTGTGCTACTTACCGATAATTATTCCATGGAATTTTCTTCTAAATGATCTTTTACTTGTTACTAATTAATTTCTTCTAAACGATATTTTAAGATTATGTTATGTATTTATGCGCCGTATAGAATTGTATCACAACTATTGACGTATTTATCTCTATTTTGAATTCATACCCATGAAATCCGATTATGTAATTTAAGTTTCCTGAAACAGTACAACGCATGCTATGTAAGGGATAATTAAATTCTATAACAATAATATTGGAATTGTTAACATTTCGCGTAACTATATTTACAGTTAATATTATCATTTAAATTTAGTTTTCTCCCTAGAAAGCGCAAATTGTCACATTGTGCAAGTTAATTCTAAATTAAACATCAACAAACTAATTTTAAAAAATAGTTTCCAACAATTAGAATTTTAGAATTAAAAATAATTTCAAAAATTGTTTATTGAGAAAATAATTTCAAAAACTGTTTATTTATTAAAAAAATAATTTAAAATAATAATAATAATTTTATTAAAAAATAATCTAAAACCCCGTTTATTAGAAAATAATTTAAAAAATGATTTTTCACGAAAATTCACAAAAATATTTGCCAACAATTTAAATACCGTACGAAAAAGAGACAGGAATTTGCAAATTAAAGAGCAAGTTCCTACGCCCCTGAAATCAACTCACCCTTGCGAAACGTGCACTCCCTGATGTTACTGGTAACACCACTACAATATTTCTTTGTTGGTGTTTACCATATTATTACTCGGTTTCCTCTTTGTCACGTTTTTCTTTAGGATATCCTCTTCATGGATGGACAAACAATTGAACAGAAATTATTACATTTCATACATTTGGAAATTAATCAAATAACTAATAATGTACTTATCGAAAATATGTTTACCAAATAATATTTATCGACAAACGTGTTAATTATCCCGCAAATTCAATGCTTCCTGTTTAAAATATTACTCCTGTCAAATCAACTGACCAAAATTAATTTTGTTGGTATTTATATAACACATATTGAAATTTGTGCTTTTTTTATTATATTATTAGATTAAAATATTGTCTTTCAGTAGAAAATTTAAAAAAAAAAAACGTCACTTTTTAATAGTTGGATAAGAGTTTCTTTTCAGCTTCACTGTTTGCGAGTAAGACTAAAAATGACGGGGTTCCTCCTTGAACGATGAACCTTGAATTAAATTTATTATTATTATTATTATGATTATTATTATTATTGATATTATTTTTATTATTAGTGTTATATATTATTTTTTAAATAAATGTTTGCATATCGAAAAAAATTATTTACCTTTCATTTTGTAAAATTTCACACAAAGTTTTATGTATATCAACTTTGTTTATATTCATTTTATTATGTCCCTCGAAGTAGACATTAACACTTCTAACATTGTACTTTTTATCTCCATCCCATGGAGGAGGAATTTCAAAAAGTTCCTCAAGATGTTCTTCGAATCTAGGAAAATATTTTCAATTTTACATCATACGTTTAGTAGAGATAAATTTCTCATATCAATGAAATATGAGAAATTTATCTCTACGTGAAAGTTTAGTTTCATATTAGTTATTTGTATATTAAAAGAAAATTGGAAAAGTGAAAAAATAAAAGAAAAATGAGGAGCAAGTTCTCAAAAACAGATAAAACCAATATTTCTTATTTTGAGAAATTGAAACAAATGAAATTTCTCACATAACCATTTTCAGTTAATCTTAAGATAATTTTTTTTAATAATTTACTTCTATAACAAAATTTTTATATTTAAAATGTTTTATCTTTAATTAAACTTTATTAATAAACTAAAAACTAAGTGATTAATTGAAAGTTTTTTGTTTTTGTTTTTGTTTTTTTTTGAAGAACCAAAAGTCGAAAAGTTTTTAAATTGAAAATTCTTTGTTAATATACATTTTTTTTAATTCAACAGTGACAGATCGGTTTGTGAGGTCCTTAAAGTATTAAAATTTATGTTTACATATTTAAATTTTTTTAAAATGTATTTATCAGCTTTAGGAAACTTGCTCCCCAGGTGCGAATTTTGGTCGGCCGCCAGAGTTGGCAGGTCGGGCCCAGGTCGGCCCATCTATGGCTGCCAATAGGTCGGCAGCCAAAGTCGGGCCGACTTTGGTTACTGTTTCCACCCAAGTTTGGGCCGACTATGGGTGCCAAAGTTTAGAGAACCTAATTTTAGTTGGTCGGGCCGACTCTGGCCTGAGTCGGGCCGACGGTCGGTAAAACTATGGCAGCCAGAGTTTAAAGAACCTAATTTTAGTTGGTCGGGCCGACTCTGGCCTGAGTCGGGCCGATGGTCGGTAAAACTATGGCAGCCAGAGTTTAGAGAACCTAATTTTAGTTGGTCGGGCCGACTCTGGCCTGAGTCGGGCCGATGGTCGGTAAAACTATGGCAGCCAGAGTTTAGAGAACCTAATTTTAGTTGGTCGGGCCGACTCTGGCCTGAGTCGGGCCGATGGTCGGCTAAAGTATGGCAGCCAGAGTTTAAAAAGGTTAATTTCTGTTGGTCGGGCCGACTTTGGCCTGAGTCGGGCCGATGGTGGGTTAAACTATGGCAGCCAGAGTTTAAAAAACCTAATTTCAATTGGTCGGGCCGACTCTGGCCTGAGTCGGGCCGACGGTCGGTAAAACTATGGCAGCCAGAGTGCAAAAAACCTAATTTCACTTGGTCGGGCCGACTCTGGCCTGAGTCGGGCCGACGGTCGGTAAAACTATGGCAGCCAGAGTTTAGAGAACCTAATTTTAGTTGGTCGGGCCGACTCTGGCCTGAGTCGGGCCGACGGTCGGTAAAACTATGGCAGCCAGAGTTTAAAGAACCTAATTTTAGTTGGTCGGGCCGACTCTGGCCTGAGTCGGGCCGATGGTCGGTAAAACTATGGCAGCCAGAGTTTAGAGAACCTAATTTTAGTTGGTCGGGCCGACTCTGGCCTGAGTCGGGCCGATGGTCGGCTAAAGTATGGCAGCCAGAGTTTAAAAAGGTTAATTTCTGTTGGTCGGGCCGACTTTGGCCTGAGTCGGGCCGATGGTGGGTTAAACTATGGCAGCCAGAGTTTAAAAAACCTAATTTCAATTGGTCGGGCCGACTCTGGCCTGAGTCGGGCCGACGGTCGGTAAAACTATGGCAGCCAGAGTGCAAAAAACCTAATTTCACTTGGTCGGGCCGACTCTGGCCTGAGTCGGGCCGACGGTCGGTAAAACTATGGCAGCCAGAGTTTAGAGAACCTAATTTTAGTTGGTCGGGCCGACTCTGGCCTGAGTCGGGCCGATGGTGGGTTAAACTATGGCAGCCAGAGTTTAAAAAACCTAATTTCAATTGGTCGGGCCGACGGTCGGTAAAACTATGGCAGCCAGAGTGCAAAAAACCTAATTTCACTTGGTCGGGCCGACTTTGGCCAGAGTCGGGCCGATGGTCAGTTTGAAGTTGCAGCTTATAAAATCATTTTTGTTCTTAGGCTTTCATGTAAGCGTAGCGTAATGGTTAGCGTGTTAGACTTCGGTGCGTTAGGTTGCGAGTTCGATTCCTGCGAGCGTTAGAAATTTTAATTTGTATTTATGTGTAAGATTGCGTTTAGTGTTAAGATGTATACAATAAACAAATAAATAATGAATAATAATAATTAATAATAATAATAAATAATTAATAATTTTTTGCAATCGGTCGGCCGACTTTTGGCTGCCAAGGTCGGCACGACCAAGGTTGCCAAAGTGAATCCGACCTTCTTTCTCATGGTCGGCAAAGCTTTGGCACCCCTGGTCGGCCCGACTTTGGCAACCATAGTCGGCACGACCATGTCAGCCACTGGACGGCGGGTGTTACAATTCGCTAGTTCGGCCGACCTTTGGCTGCCAAGGTCGGCACGACCATGGTTGCCAAAGTCAAGCCGACATTCTTTCACATGGTTGGCAAAACTTTGGCACCCCTGGTCGGTCCGACTTTGGCAGCCATAGTCGGCCCGACCATGTCAGCCACTGGACGGCGGGTGTTACAATTCGCTAGTTCGGCCGACCTTTGGTTGCCAAGGTCGGCACGACTATCCACTAGGTCGGCGCGACCATGGCCCGACCAACTTTTCGCACCTGGGTCCTCAAATGTTGCTCTTTTTGAATTTTTTAGGCTTCGAATCGACTTAAACGCGCAAAAAAAGGCACTTTAGTGTTTAGTCGATTAAAAATATAAAAAAGTCGTTTATTTAATTCAGTGTTATCTCAAAAATGTTATTTTGTATTTCCCTGACCTTTCATTGATTTCTAAATTCAATTATTCAAAACTTGAATAAATTTGATAAATAAATATTAAAATACTTATTTGTTTTTCCACGGAAAATAAAATTTTTTAAATTTCAATTTGAAATATAGGTACTGAATTAAAAAATTTCTAAAAATTATAACTATAACCCTTCAAAAATTCAATTATTTTCTACAATTTGTAACTAAACTTCGTCTCTAAATCAATTATTTTTAATAATTTTCGGAAAGTTCTTCGAGAATTCAATTATTTAAATACAAGAATTCAATTTTTTATAATAAGTGTAACTGTAGCTGCTCCTGTTTTTTAAAAGTTATTACACCCTAAAAAAAGTAATATAATTAATGATGAAAAGTTCATTACTTATATTAATTAATATATTTATTTGCTGATTGACTTGATTTGAATTCAATATTTTTGACATTTGAACAAAAAAAAATTTTTCTGTTTTATTATTAACCACCAAAGAATAAAAATATATTCTACATTCAAGTGGAATACTTTTGTTTTGAGAGGAAAAATTGAGAGGATATTAGAAGAGGATTTTTCCTCTAATTGTGAGATTACTTTTTTTCAGGGTGTAAGGTATATAATATTTTTAAAGAATTATAATAAAGAAATTCTTAAAATTAATTTTTTAAAAATATTTTTAACTAATTTTTGAAAGCTGTAACAGTTTTCAATTGTATACAATTGAAAAATTTCCAAATAATTGAGATCTCAAATAAGTAATTGATTTTTTGAAAAATATAAAAAAATAATCAAATTTTTCAAGCATTTTAATATTATAAATATGAACATGATTTCTCTCCTAAATTTTAATGACTCTAAAAAAGTAAATTTAAAAAATTTTAATTTACTTTGTTCAAAATTAATTGAATCTTAAAAAAATATCATAAAACAATAGTTATTGAAAAATTTTGAATTATTGTATAATTTAAGATAACTAATTATTTTTTTGAAGAATTTTAATTAAAAACTTTAAACATGATTGTTTTCTCCAAAATGGGAAAAATAATTCTGAAAAATTTTAATGTTATTATTTTTTGTATCTATTTGAATTTTTGGAAATATGTACATTATTTGAAAATATTGGAAATAATTTAATTTGAAAAAAAAGAATAAAAAAATTCTAAGAATTACTTTTTTCAACAATATTTAAATATAATTATTATTTTTAAATTTACACTTTCAGATTTATCATTAAAATTTTTGAGAATTCATTTTCTTTCAAACTTTACAATTATAATTCTTGAAAAGTTGATTTTCAAAAATTGTATACAATTAAAAAGATTTTGAACAATTAATTTTGTAAAATTGAATTGAAAATAATTTTTTAATTATTGCATTAATCTATATTAATAAAATCAGACTTTTGTCTGTACATTGCATGAAATTAATTTTTTCTAGCATAATTTATTTATTTGAACAACGGAGAATCCAAAAATGGTAATAGAAAATTTCCTGTCTGTATGTATGTATGTATGTTTGTATGTGTGTATGTATGTATGTATGTATGTCCGCAAAATTTTGTTCGCGTATAACTTGAAAACGTCTTGGCCGATTGAAGTAAAATTTGGCAATCTTTCAGGTATTGGTCTAACTTAAAATATTAGCTATATTTGATGAAAAAATATTGAGCTGAACAAAAGTTATGAATTTTTCAAAAAATTCAAAAAAAAAATTTTTTTCAATTTTTGCAGATTGGGATAAATTTTTTAATTTATTAATAATATAAATGATTTTAAAGATATATAAAAATAAATTGAATAAAAAATAATATTGATATGAAAAAAAATTATGAATTTTCCAAAAAATTCAAATTTTTTTTTAAATTTTGACAGATTGCTGTAAATTAATCAGTTATGACTTTTGTAAGATATATATAAGCAATAAATTTGCAGATTTTAAATATATTAATTAGAACGGGAGGTATTCAATTTTTTCAAAAAATTAAAAAAATGGAAGATTTCCAAATTTTATATTTTTTAATGTATATTTTTTAAACTTTCTGTAATTAAATATTTTTATTGTTTATACTCCTGCCCTATTGGCCTTACGCACTTCGACAAGAGTCCCCGAGAAATACTTTTTTGGATTAAGCATAACCATTCTACTTTAGAAATTTTCTATATATTAACCTAATTTGCGTCTACAGCCGACTTTATTAGGAGTACTCAATTGCAAAAATTTCGAAAATATTAAAAATGGAGATTCTTATGATAAAATTGATACTGCATGAATTCAAGAATATGTGATACGATACTTGCATTATGCTACTGGGAAAAAACTTAGATAGTAAAAAGTTTGGTTATTTTAATTCTAGATTTAACTTTTAGGGATGTTTTGAGCATTGTAAAGGCAAAAGTTAAACAGGGTGTCTATTATTATTTTTGTTTAACAAACTATCCGGTTTTTCCCAGCTTTGTCCAAATTTTTCCAGGTGTATCTTTTCTCATCAAATATAAATTTTCTTGATAAGAATTAACAATAAATAAAACTACAAATGGCTACAAAAATTCACTTATTTTATGAAAATACTCTTCGACGGGTTTTTGTTTTAACTAATACAGTGGAACCTCGATTATCCGAACTATCCTAGGTAAGGGCGGGTTCGGATAATAGAGGTTTTAATGATTTTCATAATTAAAGTAAAAAAATTGGACAGTTGAACTATATATATTTAATTTAATACATTTTTTAAAGATATATAAGTATATTTTATATGTAAATATATATATTAATTTATAATAATAAATTAATAAAACAGAGAATTCATGATTTTTTATAAGATTTTTTTGGCATAAATTTCGTTATTTTGCTTTGAAAGATGCTAAAAATGTCCCGCGAAAATAAGAATGATAAAAAAAAAAGAAAATAAATGTTAAGATTCGGAAAGTCAAGAAAAAGTTCGGATATAATGATTTTTGGTTCGGATAATAGAGGGTTCAGATAACAGAGGTTCGGATAATCGAGGTTCCACTGTACTTTTAACAGGGGTTCTACCAACTGGAAAAAACGGGAAATATGCAGGAATTTAATTTAATCGGGAAAACTGTGAATTCAGCCTGCAATATAGGTCTTATTTTAGATTTTAGCAATTATGATACAATTAGTTCGAATTTGACTTCACTATAACTCCAAAAATTGGTGGAAATTTTGGATTAACTTATAATACAATAAAAAAAAAGTAAAAAAATAAATAAAATAAAAAAATAAATAAATAAAATAAATAAAAAATAAATAAATAAATAAATAATAAATAAAAAGTCAATCACTGATTTAAAATAGTAATATTTTTCTAATGAAATAGTTAATGGTAGCTAAATATTATTTTTTCCGGTCAAGTTAAATTCCCCGCTATTTCCCATTTTTCGAGACTGGTATACACACTATTGAATGTATTTGTAGAAACTACCCAAGTAGAAATGTCCGGAGTTAGGACGGAGTTAAACACCGACATGGTACTGACTCAGTACTGACCGTCGGTACTGACTTTCGGAACCCGATCAGTACTGGGAGTATACTGACTCCAAAACCGAATCAGTACTATGTCGGAGTTAGAAAAGTTCTAAAATCAGTACTGGCAGAAAACTGGCTTAACACTAAATCAGTACTGCGAAGGAGTTAAAAAAACAATCAAAATTTGTTATAATGTAATTAAACATTGAACATCGTTTGATTTATTAACAATTAAAATATTTGCAAAGATTTGTAAAAACATTATTCATCAACAATAATATCAAACATTTTATTAATTTATTATTAACTAATAGATATATTTTAATAATATAATAATAAATTATTATTAATTAATTATTTTTAGAATTATTACGTATTATTAATAATAAAAAAAATTTTATTTTTTAAAGCTGTATATATATTTTTATTTATTTATTTAACAAAAATTTTTCTTAAATAAATTTTTTTTTATTATTATTTTAATAAATAATTAGATTATAAATAATAAATAAATAATTATATTAATAATTTTTACCATATTATTATGATATATCTATTAATTACTACATAATGACTTGATAAAATGTATATAAAGATATATGTATAATAATTTTTCTTGAAATAAATATAATATGCAGTGGATTTATTATTAAAGCACTGTATATATCGGTCCCACAATTCAAAAGGAAGTTTATGCGAGATAACTCCCGAGCTTGCGTGGCTATGCGGTATGTGTATTCGACTTGCGTCCTCGAGGTCTAGGGTTCGGTCCCCCGTGCGTGCGATATTTTTCCGTCTTAGTTTTAAGTGTTTTGTGTATAATTCTTAACAGTGTTACATAAAGTATAAGTTTAAATAATTAATAACCAGTAATAATAATAATTTAGTCATTAATTTAAATAAATAATGAAAAAATAAGAAAAATATTTTTTTAAAACTTATTTTAATAAAAGGAATTCTAATAATTAATTAATAATAATTAATACTAATAATAATTATTAGTATTCAATAAATTACTCCCCATGCTTTAATAATTAAATAAGGAGCTTATACTGACCGCCGGTAAAAATCAGTACTGGACAGCGTTACCAGCCAGGGTTTTCCCAGTACTGACTTAGTACTGGAGTCAGTACTGCAATACTGGCAGTCAGTACAAGATCAGTACTATGCCAGTATTACATTTCTACTTGGGTAAAACCCTTCGAAGACGGGTACGACAGCTAGTTATGAATATCGCAATTGATAAAGTTTGAATTCAGTAACAATATTTATTTCGGTAAAAATATTTTCGGTATAATATCATTCAGTAACAAATTTTTCGGGAAAATTAATTCGGGGGAAAAAAAAAGCATTCGGTAAAAAATTTTTCGTGAAATTTGACATTCGGTAGAATTGATTCGTGGAAATGACCGGGAATCAAAATTTTGAAACACAAAGTCTTTCAGTATAGTTATTTTTCGCATTATAAAAATCGAAATAATTTGCATTTTACACTAAAAATATGGTATTTTGTCGCAATGTTTTGAAGAAAAGTCGAAGTCGCAATTTTTTGTAAATAAGTCGAAAAACGTCTCATTGTTTGAAAATAGTCGAAAAAGTCCTAATATTCGAGGCCTTATTTTTTTTTTAAATAACGTATTATATTTAATTAAAAACAAATTAACTTACGTAGAATCTTCATGAAAATTTTGAATAAAATCAGTTTGAAATACTTCTGGATAGAGAATCATAACTGGCCAAATTAATTTCTTATTGTCATCCAAATGAACAACATTTTGAGCAATTTGTGGAATTTGTGGTTCTAAATCTTTTAAATTTACGATTCCTTTGCCCTTCGTCGTATGCAATTTAATATTTCTACTGGCAATAATTTCTAGAACTTTATCTTCCTGTTTTTCAATTTTCTTCTCCTTGAGTTTCTCTTTTCGCAAATCTCTCTCCCATTGTTTCTATAAATATTTCATTCTTTTATCAGTAATCATTTAAAATCGTTAGAAAAATTGTATTTAAATGTGTATTTAAAAAAAGGTAGTAAAATAAACATTATAGAAGCTATTGAATAATATATATAAATAGCTACTGATTACATATTTACCTTATCTCTTAAAGCCTGCGATTTAAGATCAATAATTGATTTATCATTTGGAGATTCCTTCAAAATTTGATCACAAAATTCAACACATTGTGAGAAATCTTTAACTTTAAGATAACAGTGCGCAGCTCTGTTCAAAGCTTTTGCATATTGTGGTTTTAATTTTAAAGCTTGTTTACAGTCATTTAAACTTGATCTAAATAAAGTAAATAAATAATTAATATTTTTAATACAAGTCAAATAATTTTATTCCAAAGAAGCAGAATGTGTTCTATTTGAAATTTTTTATTTAACTAATTATTATTTTTCTATAATTATACTTTTATTATAATTCTTAATTTTTAAAAAACTATAAATACTATTATACTAAATTAATCTGTAAAATAAATAAAAAATTAACAATAGTCCACAAACTCTGGATCGAAATATATTGTATTGATTCGTGAATAATATAATATAGTAAAAAACTTTTATAAATTATTATAACTTTACCGATAATTTTCTAACATAAAGTTTGCAGCTGCTCTATTATTGTAAAGTTGAGCCATTAAATCTGTGTCTTTACATTTTGTTTTAATGCCTTCAGTATAGGAAAGAATAGATAAGCGATATTTCTTATACTTGTAATTAAAATTTCCATCTTCTTTATAATTATTAGCTAATTCTATAAATAAAAATCGATAAAATGAGTAAACAATAAATAAATATCTTAGAATAAATAAAAATGGGAAGAAGAAAAAATTTAATCTAAACTACGGCAGGGATCACAGTATTTTTTTTTATTTAAAATAGATAAAAAGGTCTTATATTTTAATAGTTTATTTCTTATTGTACTCATTTAGACTTTTAAGGCTGTAAGAGATGTAAAACATTATTTGTAGCATCAAGAAATAAATTCTATTCTATATAAAAAGGTGAATTATTTTCTCAAAATAGGTGCCAAAAAAAGTGACAAAAAAATTACATATAAAATAAAAAACTAGTACTTATTGAAATGATTAATACCATTTCAATTTTAATGCGAATTAATGAATTAATAAAAATTAATAATAATTAAAATTTCAATTAAAATTGAAATTAGATTCTTCGAAATATAGATCAAGTTATGACTCTAAGGTTATGAAAATTCAAATTAACAAAATTTCTTTATTTCTCTTTCAAATTTAAATTTTATTATAATATTGCTTCAGGTTTAAAAAATTAAAATTTTAAACTTTGGAAATGTTAAAATTAAGTTTTTTATTTCAAAAGTTTTTGAAAATATTTATATCGAATTTCAAAATTATTTTCATTATTTCAATTAAATTATTATTACACTGTTAGTTAAATGTATGAAAAATTCAGATTTTCAAAGATTTTAAATTGAAACCTTTTAAAAATTCCATTATTTCTAAAAATTCATGCAATAATGCTTTTAATATTCAATTATTATCTATAATATTAACTGAAATTCACTTTTAAATCAATTTTTATTAGAAAATTTTACGAGAATTCAATTATTTGAAAAGAAAAATAAACAATTTTATTAAATAATTGAATGTTTCTCAATAATTGAATTCTTTCGACGAATTTTAATAAATTTTTTAAGAATAATTACATTTTTCGAAGAATTTGATTAAAAATAATTGAAATTCTGCAATGAGTTTAATCATTGCAGTTGCGGTCCAAAAGGACCGATTTTGCAATTATTTGTAACTTCTCCATTTCAGGCTTCGAAGTCTAGTAGCAGGTCAAAAAAAGTGTGAAAAAGTAGCATTTTGGAAGAAAAAAGTGTCCTCTAAATTGAAAAAAAGTAGCAAAAAGCCAGCATATTAAAAGTGAAGTAAAATTAGTTTTTTAAGTAAGAAAATTAAGTGAATATATGTTGTTGTCCAAAAAATTGAAAGAAAAAAATACTAAAAATAGGAATTCACAAAATTTTTTTTAAATTTTGATTTATAAACATAAAACATGAAAATATAATAGCTTTTTTGTCGATATTTTACATTAGAAAGTTTTATTTACATAATGAAATGTAATTGTTAATAATACTTAAATGAGATCTTTCATAAGAATTTGTTTTTTAATAACAGGCTCATAATTTTGAGAAGTTAAACTGACACCTTCTTTCTCCTTATTATTTTTTAAAAAACTATCAATAACTTTTTATCAGCCATCTAATTTTTAAAAATGAAACGTAAACATTTTTTAGTAATTTACTAATAACAACTATCAAAATGAAAAAAATGGATTGTTTTTAGTCATATAAATTTTTTAAATTTTAGAATCCACATAGCCATAATTTTGTACAATAATAAATTATGAGCAATTTAATTCCAATAAAAAAATTATAATTTTTCTTCTAGATAGATCTTAAATCTTTATAAATGATTTTTTTATTATTGAACAACCGACTTAAAACACTGTATTATTGAAAATACAATTAATATTTTTAAATTTGACATAAAGTTTGTAAACATAATATAATAAATAATCACGTTAAATAAATATTATTTTGGATTTTTAATCAAACAATTTATATAACCAAAAGAATTAAGTTTTCATTCTTAATTGATTTTTTCTATACTTGATGAAACTTTTATAAAGTCAAAAAAGGTATTACTATTAAATTATATAGTGAAAAATGAAAAATTTAGTTTTTAATTTTTTTAAGAAGCTTAAAGAATAATAAAATTAGATACGAAAAATTCGAAACGTTAAAAAGTTGTAATTTAATAAACATCCACTATTAGTAATTATTATAATATATTATAATCACGCGTCCAATAATAAATTTAATTCATTTGGCGGTTTTTTTGAAATCTACGAAATTCACCAAAAAAACTAAAATTCTTGAATTCTGTAAATTTTTTTTACCTTTTTTGGAAAAAAGTAGCATTTAGTATCTTTTTGACAAAATAAGTAGCAAAAAGTAGGCTTGACCAAAAAAAGTGTCAAAAAAGTGGAAAAGTGTGTCACTTCGAAGCCTGCCATTTTTAAAGTGTTTTTAACTATAATTCTTCTACAAATCTATTATTTTTAAAAATTAATTAAATATATATTAAAAAATTTAACTAACTAATTAAATTTGTTCAGAAACTAAACTTTTGATTAAAATTATTGGGGAATAAATTTAGAAAATGGGTGAACGGAGAGAAATCTGTTAGGATTAATGCTCGAAACTTTTCATATACTTTTTCCATAGATTCTTTGATGCTAAAATCCTAACAGAGAGCCTATTTATTGCTCGAGTCCGCCTGAATATTAGGCGGAGTCGACTGATATTCAGGCGGACCTCTTATACTTTTCGCTAGTAAGTGCTTATGCTATTATTCATAACCTCTACTCTATGCATTATTCGCAACAGATTTCTCTCCGTGTGGAAATTAACGAAATAAGTGAAATAGGTGAGAAAATTAAAAAAAGCGAGTCTGTGATTCTTGCTACAGTGATAAATTGAAAAAAATGAAATTTAATTAATTAAATAAATTAAATAAGTAATGTAGTCGTTAATAATTATTTCTTTTAATTGTTTGCAAAGAAAACAATGTCACACACCTTCGGCAGTATTTTCTTCTGTACTATATTTAAGTTGCTGTAAGCCTTCCATTAATGGTGAAAGCTCCTCTCCTGGACCAGGAGTATTTTTCATAAAAAATGGATGTTTCTCCATTTCTTCTTGCCACCGATCTTCCGGCCATCCTTCAGTATACTGTTTCTTTTCTAAACTATCTATATATTCGTCTAATTCGGCATCTAATTTTGCAGCAAGTTCCAAACGCTCAGCGTCAGTATACACTTTTTTAGTTGGTTTTTCATTCTCACTTTCTGCCATTTCTTAAATTTTTGTTTTATAAACGTGTTAAAATTTTCTCTACCTATCATAATTTTAGGCATCACAGTACCTTTTTCCTCAAAAAAGGTGAAAAGGGGAATTTTTTATACAACTTGCATACATAATTCTAATTTTTTATCGTATAGCTTCCATAAAATTTTTTTAAAATTCTAGTAAACTTAAAAAAAAATTATTTTACAGAAATTTTTAGTTAAAAATATGAAAAATTCAGATTGTCCAAGATTTCAATTTAAATCTTATTCAAAATTCAATTATTTCTCAAAATTGACGCTATAATGATTTGAATATTCAATTATAGGTAATCGAAAATTTTAACTGAATAATCCATTTTTAAATTAATTTTTATCAAAAAATTCTACTAGAATTCAATTATTTAAATAAAAAATAAAGAATTTATATTGAATAATTGAATATTTCTTAATATTGAATTCTCATAAAGAATTTTATCAACAAAATTTTAAATAAATGAATTCTTTCGACGAATTTTAATAAAATTTTTAAAAATAATTACATTTTTCGTGGTATTTGATTGAAATTGTACTAAAAATAATTGAAATTCTGCGATGAGTTTGATTATTTATGAAAATAATGGAATTATTGCGAAGAAATTTATAAAAAATTTGTAAATAATAGAATTCTTGTGAAATTATGTTATTATTTATAAAAATAATTAAACGTTTGCGTAGAATTTTAATAAAATTTATTTAAAAATAATTGAATTCTTTTGGAAAATTTTATTAAAATAGTAGATATTGAATGTAATTGAATTTAGGAAAATTTTTGCAAATAATTGAAATTTTGCCAAGAATTTTATTAAAATTTTTGAAAATAATTTAATTTCGGAGAAGAATTTTATTATTTACATATAAAGATAATTGAAATTTTGACGAGAATTTCTTTAAATTTTTGAATATATTTGAATTTTATTATTTTTGAAAATAATTGAATTTTTGCAATTATTTGAAACTTCTCCAAAATTAAAATTTTGTTTAGTGTTTTTAACCAAAATTCCTCGATAAATTCATTATTTTTAATAATTAATTAAATATATATAATATTAAGAAATTTAACTAATTTCAGAATTATTTAAAGTTTGAAAATTTTTACAAAAATGTAAGTTCTTTAGAATTTCTAATAAAATTCATTCAAAATTGAAATTTTATAAAATTTGAAGTTAAAATCCTTTCAAGTTCATCTATTTATGAAAATTGTGGACGAAACTATTTTAAAATTCAATTAATTTTGAAATGTATAAATAAAATTATTCATTAAATAATTTCTAAGTTATAATTTTATGATAGTTCTTCAAGAATTAAGTTATTTAAAAAGAAGTTATTGTCAGAAATGGGAAAAGGGACAAAAGGGGACCAACTGTGATGCCTGTAATTTAGAAAAAATTATTTTCTTCTATTTTACTGCGACGTTTTTATGACTAATAACTAATGAGTTTAGAAAAAAAATATTTGTACTATATTTGACTATATAAAAATACTTTTCCTATTGTCAGAAACAATTGTTTTTTCCCGTTTTTACAAAACAATCGAAATCCACTTGTTGTCAATGTCAATTGCTTCACGTGTTTTTTATCCATGCTTGCGAGGTAAAAGAAAGCGAACACGTGACATTGAAAAATACACATTGTTGACGTGAAATATTATTTAAGAAATAATTTTGCAACAGTGGTTTAAGAAATCTAGTTAGAATTATGTGGTACAAGGTTATTAACTGTTTTTACAATAATTTTTTCAAAATAAATTTGACATAACCTATAAATTTTTACGATCATTGAAAACAGCGCGATTTTGCTTAAGTGAATGGAAACACTTAACGAATTTATAATTTTATTAATCCTTGTAATTTCCAGGTGGAAAATATTATAAAATTGTTATTAAAAATGGTAAAAAACTTACTTTTCGATGATTCTGCAACGTATTGTTGACAATTCTCGAATTCTATTTCTCTCTCAGCCAACTTCAACTAAACAAAAGCAGTGCTGCCATCCGACTGAAACAGAGAAAAACAAAGTTTGATTTCGATCGCGCCAACTTAACCCGCGTAAATTCAAATTTTAAATAGAAACTTTTTCTAATATTTCCAAATCTTTTGTTTCCAGATTTATTTAAATCTATATCTACATAAGTAAAAATTTTACGTTTTTATTATAATTTCTATCATCTCTTATTTATCTTCTCACTCACAGAATTCTAATTTTAGTAATTAAATTAAAATAATGATAAAAAATAAAATATTTTGCAAAATATTGCGAATCGCCTGTCCCGTTAATATTCAAATAAATAAATATGTAAAATACTATAAAAATAGAATTTTAGAAAAACAAAATAGTGGGAGTAATTTTTTAATCTTAGTTTGATTAATTTTTTGTTTTTAAAAAATTGATACACTTATATAAACTTTTCACAAAGTTCTACAATTATTAATCTTATCAGTAGGAAATATGTCTTTGTATGTAGGTTTCAAGTAGATTAGACACTTTCCAATGATTATTAAACTGATAAAAACTTTATCATCGGAAGGTCTATCCAGGAATTAATTTTCAAGTTTAGTTCATGAATTCAGAAATGAGAATGAACATTTTGTATTAAAGTGCTTATTCTAAAGTTTCATAAATAAATAAATAAACGAAATATAAATAAATAAACAAATAAATAAAAAATGAATAAACAAAACATAAACAAATAAAAAAAATTAACTAATAATATTAATAATAATAATAATTAAAATTTTTCTAATAGAAAAAATAGTTAAATGAATTGAATGTTTGGAAAATGTACTAATTTTGGATTTTATAATTGAATGTGTCATTTATAGAAAGTGAAAATTTGTTAGTTTAAAGAAAAAGTTCCTAAATATAAAAAAAATGAAAAAAAGAAAGAGAGTTATCTTTATTCAAGTTGCAGCTGGTTTGTCCATTTTAGCCCTGGTTGTTGTTTGCTTATCCCTGGGGACAAATGAGTGGATCACAGGATCGGCCTCTGTCAGCAATACTTCATTAGATATTCAAGACTCGGAAATCAATCATGGATTATTTACAGGCACCCTTATAAGAAAGCCTGTTTCCACTCCAATATTCTACGATATTTACAGTAAGCAAGAAAATCGTTTTATACTTTCAAAATAAAACCTTTACTTATTCATTAATTAATTAACTTGTCATTAATAATTAATTATACTCTCAAGCATATAATGGATTGAAAATTTATGTTAATTCGATTCAAAGAAACAATATCATTTTAAAGTTAATTAAATAATACTGAAAATAGTCATGCAAAAAATGTGCATTATTTACAATATTTTTTAATCTCTTATTATTTTTATTAATATTTTTTATTTTTTTCATTATTATTGTTTTTATTATTATTCTCATAGTTATGAATTTTTCATTATTATTATTATTATTCTCATGATTATATTAATTTTTTATTACTAGCAATATTCTGGGTTCCAACAAAAATTATTTCATTTTTCTCTGATTTTATTTATTGCTATTATTAGTACTTTCTGATTTCCAGACAGAATTTCGAATTTTTTCATGAACATAAAAATATTCTAATTCACTCTAAATTAAATAAGAAAATATTTCTAATACATTTATTTGTGATTATTTTCCATTGTAAAATTATTCGAAATATCAAAAACAAAATTTTAATGAATTATTAAAATTATTATTATTATTATTATTATTATTATTATTATTATTATTATTATTATTATTATTATTATTTAAATTTTAATGATCATTATTATTAGTTTTCCACAAAAATTAAGAAATTGCAAACGCAAATTTAATTATTTTTTGAATTTTTAATTCTCCGAAAGTTCTGAACGTTCAAATGAACGAAAATTTATTTCTTTTTTCAAATTCAAATTTTTATTACAATAATTTGTGTCGCGTGTAAAAAAAATAATTTATAAGTTTCCAAATGTTAAATTTTCATTTTTAATTTTTTTTTACAATCAATAATCTTTGGAAATATTTTTAATAAAAAATATTTCGTTCATTTCAACATTTAAAACTTGTTGATGATAAACAATTTTTCTGTGAATATTTTATAAATAATATTGAGAAAGGTTTTCAAGAATTAAATTACATAAAATAAATTCAATTTCATATTCTACAAAAATGCATTTATTGTTATAAGTAGAAAAATGTAAGCTTTTATATTAAAATTCGTGGTGATTTCAAAATTTATAAGGTAAACAAAAAAGAATTCAAGGAGAATTAAATATTTTTAATATTTTCAAAGGTTTCTGATCACCAAACGCCAGAATTTTTGTATCAATTCTTAAAGTTTAATACTTTTTCCAGTAATCTGTATAAAATTCCCTAAATTATCCCTGATTTCCCTGACCTGTGGCAATCCTGAATATTCTTGTTTCACTGCTAATTATTTTAATATTTTTCATTGAGAATAAAATCTAAAAACTCAATAAATAATAAAAATGAAATATTTGCTTACTATTTAAGTTTCGTGTATTTGGGGATCGAATAAGTGTGCTTGGAGCTGCAGATCAAATGCGAAATCCAGAGAAGAGGAGGTAGAATCACTTCTTAATGGCGAAAATCCAGAATTTTCGTGTTTGTCAACAGGAAAAAATTTGATGAGTTCAGTTTCTACAAGAAAAAGTGAAAATGGTTAGTAAAATAATTAAAAATCGAATAATTTTAACAAACTTTAAAAAAAAAAAATTAAAAAACAATTTGGGAAAAATTTCTTTATAAAAAGCAACTTTTAAAAAAAAAATTTACCGTTTTCGCTCAAAGAATAAAAGTTTATTGTAAAAATAAAAAGATAGACAATTAATAGAATATAAAAAAGTAAAAGTAAAAGGGAAACAAAATGTACTAAATAAAAAAATGGATCAATTAAATTTTTAATTTGTTCCGTAAATTATTAATCTTTTTTTAATTGGAAACAAGATGAAAAAAATTGTTATCTTTTGAGAAATAAACTATTTATGCAGAAGTTATATTTAAAATAATAATTCAACCTTCAATCGACGGAATTAAAAACCCTTATGCTTTTGCAGATACGAGAAATTCTATAGTTTTTGTGAATGCGGGTGCTTGGCTTTGTACCACTATTCTAATGATTCTACAGCTTGTCGCCGTGACAGGAATGTGTGCTCTTTTAATTTTAAATTCATTTAAAAGTCCTGCAGAGACATTTCTCAATATTTACGTGAGTTAATTTCCCACATATTTTCATTTTTGCAGAAAAAAATATTCTCAAAATAACATAAAAAAATTCAATAAAAATTCTTTATAATTTAAATTAATAAATAAAAAATGCATCTAAAAATATATATATATATATATATATATTAGTAATAAAAAAATTCCGAAAGTTCGCATTTGAAATAGAAAAAAATTTAAAAAAACAGAAAAACGTAATAGAAAAATAAAAATAAAAAAGTAAAAAAAGAGGAATTAAAAATTAAATGAAAAAATGTACATCAAGAAAAATTTATTACTTTCAAGAGAAATGAAAAAGTGCTTTTGAAAAAAATTGAAATTGACTTAGAAAAAAATTCTTGAGTTTTTAATTCAATACAAAGAAATGAAATTAAAAGATTCACTTAAAAAAATAAAACAAACATATTATTAAATAATAAAAAAAAACCCCATAAAGTCGAGATTTGGGATAAGAACTTAGAATAAAATGTAATAAAAAAAAATGAAAATGAGGAATTTAAAATTAAAATTCAAAATTAACTGAAAAAAATGTATCAAGAAAGAATACAAAAGAGAAATGAGAAAATAATTTTTGAAGAAAATGAAAATTCACTGTTTTATGCATAGTGGAAATAAATTCTCATTTTCTTTTGAAAATTTTCAAGGAACAGGTGAATATTGGCACAGAAATAAATATCTGGCGATGCAATTAGATTTAAATACAATTAAAAATAATTGTAATTATACCTATAACTCGTAGTTTAAAAGCTAATCATAATGTAAGTGGTGTAATAAAGGAATTCCTTGCAGGGTATTTACCTGGTAGCTTGCCTCGCTATTGGGCTCAATTTAACCAGCCTAATAATTTATGGTTGTCATTATAGCTTCGTAACGTCGTACAACATAGCTATTCGCGATACTATCACTGGAGAATACACTTCTAGTGCCTATTTAGGATACTCGTATTGGTAAGTGCAAGATTATAATCAGTTCGATTATTCCTTTAAGCGTTATCTACATTTTTCACCTCCTCTTCAATCGGGAGATGCGCACAATAATCGATTTTCTAATCAACATTCTTTTTTCATCTAGTTTAATTGCTCCGTCTTCTATTTCTTCCATTTTTTCCAAAAAAATTTTCTTTACATTACTTTACACTTTTTCTTCTTAAAAACATTTTTTTTATAGTTCTTCTCCATATTATAACTATAGATCTTGATGAAAACTCTTTTACTTTTGTCCCAAATATAGTATGGGCATTATAATTTATTAACTAATTAATTTTTATATAGGATTCAACTACTTCCGTTGTTCCTGTATGGAATATGCATCGGATTACTTTTATGGCGTGAGAGAATTGTAAACCGTGAACCCTTAGGAACAAAGATCAATATCGAAAATGCGGCTGATTCAACTCTAGTCCTCTTTTAATATACTTAATATATTTAATATAATATATCGAAGATTTTTTTCAATTCTTTTCCCTTAATTTCAATTCTATCGACTTTTTTCTATTTCATTTTTGACCATTTTATTAATTGAGGAATCAACGTTTAGTGATTTTAGAACTTGGAAAGACTTCTTCTATGCCTGAAACAAATATTTTAATTTAATTATTTTTTTGTATGAAATTTGCTAATAGAAAATGTTTTTTTCTTCTACTGATTTCAAATTTTAAAGAAAAGTTTATTTTTTATGAGCAGGGTTGCCACAAAAATCTAATTTTGTTTTTCCCTAAACTTTTCCCTGATTACCAGACGAAATTTTGACTTTTTCCCTGATTTCTAGAATTTTTAAGTAAAATTCTTCTTTAAATCAATTATTTACAATAATTTAAAAAAAAATTCTGAAAATTTTCAAATCCATTTGTTTACAATTCAATTTTACGAAATTTCATCGATTATTTATTCGCAAATTCTTTATATATTTAGAAAATAAAAACTTCAAATAACTTAAAAAAAAATTCAATTAAACTTTCTCAAAGAAATTAATTCTACAGAATTATTAGTTAAAAGTATGAAAAATTAATAATAATTAATAATTAATAATTAATTAATTATTAATTAATAATTAATATAAATTTAAAATTTTACCAGGAAAATCATTTTTAAATCAATTTTTATTAAAAAATTCGACGAGAATTCAATTATTTTAATACAAAAATAAATAATTTATTTAATAATTAAATGTTTCTTAAAATTGAATTCTCATAAAGAATTTTGCCAACAAATTTTAAAATAGTTCAATTCCTTCAAGGAATTTTAATAAAAATTTAAGAATAATTACATTTTTCGAGGAATTCGATTAAATTGTATTAAAAATAATTGAAAATCTGTGTTGAGTTTTATTATTTATGAAAATAATTTAATTCCTAAAAATTGTTTTCATCATTTCAATTGACTTATTATTTTCTAGAATATTTTAACCAAAATTCTTCTTTAAATCAATTATTTTTAATAATTTTTAATAAAGTTCTTTGAGAATTTTCAAATCCATATTTTTACAATTCAATTACATATACGAAATTTCGATTATTCGAAAATTCTTCAATTAAATACATATATTTGAAAATAAAAACTTCAAATAATTTTAAGAAAATTCTAGTAAACTTAAAAAAAAATTTATTCTACAGAATTGTTAGTTAAAAGTATGAAAAACTCAAATTTTCTAAGATTTTAATTTGAAACCTTTTCAAAATCAATTATTTATAAAAATTCACGCTATAATGCTTTTGATATTCTATATTATTATCTAAAATTTTACCAGAAATTAATTTTTAAATCAATTTTTATTACAAAATTCTATGAGACAATTATTTAAATACAAAAAGAAATAATTTATTGAATAATTGAATGATTCTTAAAATTTATTTCTCATAAAGAATTTTGTCAACAAATTTTTAAATAACTCAGTTCTTTTGACGAATTTTAATAAAATTTTTAAGAATAATTTCAATTTTTCAAGGAATTCGATTAAAATTGTATTAAAAAATTTTTAAATAATTGAAATTCTGCCATGAGTTGTATTATTTATGAAAATAATTGAATGTTTGCGTAGAATTTTATAAAAATTTTACTGAAATAATTAAATCCTTTCGAAAAATTTTATTAAAATAGTAGATATTGAAAATCATTGAATTGAGGAAAATTTTTGAAAATAATTAAAATTTTGCCAAGAATTTTATTAAAATTTTTGAAAATAATTGTATCTCGGAGAAGAATTTTATTATGTATTTTTAAAGATAACTGAACATTTTTAGAATTTTTTTAACATAATTGAAAAATTGAAATTTTATAAAATTTAAAATTAAAACATTTTGAAGTTCATCTATTTACAAAAATTGTAAACGCAACTGTTTTAAAATTGAATTAATTTTGAAATATTAAGGTAAAAATATTCATTAAGTAATTTATAATTAATAATTTTATGATAGTTTTTCAAGAATTAAGTTATTTAAAAAGAAATTATTGTCAGTAATAGAAAAAATTCAAGGTTTTATATTAGAATTCGAGTAATTTCATAGTTTATGAGGCAAACAAAACAGACACCGAAATTCAAAATTTTCTTATGAATTCTGAAAATTTAATTTTTTCAGCACTTTTAATCAAAATCCCTGACTTTTTGCTGACCAATTCTATTTTCCATGACTTCCCTGACTTAAATTGTGGCAACCCTGCGATGAGATAAGTTTAATCCTTTAAATGAAAAATCTTAAAAATTTTCATTCTCATAGAATTTAGTAAAAAATTTTGATTCTAATGTGATTTTTAATTAAAAATTTCTGTTTGTAAAATATTTTGCACGTCATCGTCGTCGTCAAGTCGCACTAGGTTTGATATATTAAATATAAAAAAGAATCCACCTTTCGCAGATTCCTTCAAAAATTGTCCATTTTCCAAATGAGTCATCTCGATGAATATGATGTAAATTTTCCAAAAAATCCATTTTCTTTTATAAAGAAAAAATGCAAGGAAGGTGGATATATTTTATTCTCGATTGGTGCTGCCACCTGTAACACCTGTCTTTGGCAGGTGAAGGTTTTTCAGATAAACCAATATGTGTGTGTGTCCGTGAAGCCACAGGATCAACCAACCCGAGCAGTGAGTCGAGTTCGAGGAGTGAAACCGTTCTTCTTTCCAGCCTCAACTAGCTCAGTGTCTGTTAAACCTTCCGCGCACCTCAACTCACCTGGTGAACCTGCGCAAAAGATCATCATATATAGTAAAACTTAAGTGTTCCAGAAACTCTCTGGTGTCCTCTTAAATCAGCGGGTCGTCAATTTTTGAATTGTGCCGGTTTACTAAAGGAAAAAAAAGAAGAAGACGACGAAAAAGAAAAGAAAGTAAATACATACCATCTGAGACTCGTTTCCAAAGGACTTCAAACAGGAGTTTATAGTGTCCCAGAAAATAAGGATTGGCCACAAAAGTGCAAACTACGGAAGTCGATCCAGATTCTTCAGAGGGTATACGCCAAGAGTTACTGGAGATAAAGAAAAGGATGCTGAAGCAATGCAGGTAAAAAAAAGATCCACTATTCTCTTTAGATCCAATATTATATTGACTTTGCGGACTTGAAAGTTTTCTTCATTTTTCTTTTTTTTATGTAACTACACATATATATCTTATTTATTCTGGACCTGTGACGCAAGAGAAATATTTTCCCCTGCATTCTTTTTGAAAAAGAAATTCCAAATATTCTGGAAAAAAAATTCAACACAAATATTAATATTTTCTCTTTGATGATGTAAGCAGAAATTATTAAATTCGAATTAACGGATTTTTTATTTTAAATATTTGAAGGACATTTTATCTAAAATATTTTTTCTATCCGTTTATTAATACTATAAAAAGATATTTTTAAGTATTTAACTTGTAATAAACTATTTTAGAGTAAATTAAATTAAACAAAGGGGAATGGAGTACAAAAAGAGAAAAAATTAAAATTTATAAAGACTAATTAGATTAAAATTGAATTACACAAATAAAAAATAAACTAAAATGCAAAAAACTCAGATATTGCGATTTAAAATCGTACAAATGTTCTATTACGAAATTAAACAATAAAACAAAAGTAAAAATTAATAATTACCAAGAAAAATAATATAATCGTACAATTAAAATTAAATAAACAATTTGTAAAATTGAATATAGAATATATATTTAATTTTACAATTAATTAATAATTAATTAAATATATAATATTGTAGAATTAAACATATAATTAAAAAGTTAAATCACTAATCGGGTCTAATTAGAAAGAGTTAAAAGATAATTAGACACAATGGTGCTTTAAGACCTTTTGAGTCTTTCGCAATGGATCCGATTTCATTAAAAAAAAAAAAAAAAACCAGATCAAAACTATAATAATCAAAATTTATGAAAGTTGCTTTCAAACTCTTCAAATAATAAGCAATATTAAAGGGAAAATAGTGGGCGAATAAAATTAATAAATTATTATAAAAATAGGTAAATTTGTAATTTCATATTCGAGTTCCGCTATGCGCTCTGAAAAGGAAGAGGATTGGCCTTCGTTTAAATCGTTGGTTCATCCGTTATACCAATAATAAAAATAAAAAATAAAAGATTATTTTTATCAGGAAAATTTTTTTTTTTATAACTTTTCTCTTAACTTTCTCATGATTAGTATTTAAAATTATTCAATATTTTTCTCGATACCAATAATACAATGTTGTAAAATTGAGATAAAATTTTTTTTTCTCCTTTTTTTCGTAAACGAAGCACCTAGTAAATCTTGCGTGAAATTAGGATCGAAGAATGAACTATATATGTATATAATTTTATATTGGACTTCTGTGTCAGTTTCGTATTATTTTTCCCCATAATATCGAATTTTTAGAATTTATTTTAATAAAGTGTTTATTAGAACCAATAGGTATTTATTGGAATTTTTTAGAATAATTATTATTTTCTAATAAAGATATAAAATAATAATGTACTTGAAATAATTGGCTGTATACAATTTTATATACAACAAATTTTTTTTACAATTTTTATACAAAAAAATAATTCCGTTCGAATAAACGAAATATTTTTTATTAAAATAAAATTTTTTGATAGTATCTCAAAAATTATTGTTATAAAGATTTATATTAAAGAAGAAGAAATAAATTTCGTTCATTTAAACTTTAGGAACATATAAGATTCAAATTACCCATTATGTCTATTATTAACCCCTTCACAGTGTTTAACGTCTATAGAGGCCAAAATAATTCATGCCCCCAGTGTGTATGACCGCTATAGCGGCATCGAAAAAAAAGATATATAAAAGTTAACGAATATTGCTAAAAATGTCTACTCGGGGGCTTTCGGGGTCGCTGAATCCAAATCCGTTATTGAAAATTTTAAATTCAAAATGGCGGCTTCAAAATGGCGACCAAAATTTTTTTTAAGTTTACGAATTTGGCTGAAAATACTCATTCGGTTGTTTTTGAGGTCTCTAAATCCAAATATTTAGTCAAAAATTTAAAATTCAAAATGGCGGCTCCAAAATGGCGACCAAAAAAATTTAAAAGTTTACGGATTTGACTAAAAATGTTTATTTGAGGGTTTTTGGGGGCGCTGAATTCGAATATTTGGTTAAATTTTTTAAATTCAAAATGGTGGGTTCAAAATGGCGACCAAAAATTTTTTTAAGTTTACGAATTTGGCTGAAAATGCTTATTCGGGGGTTTTTGAGGTCTCTAAATCCAAATATTTAATCAAAAATTCAAAATTCAAAATGGCGGCTCCAAAATGGCGACCAAAAAAAATTTAAAGTTCTCAAATTAGTTCTTAAAACTTAAAGCAGAGGAATTAATATGTCCGATGTTTTAAAACATTGTGAAATACTCAAAATCGATCTATATTAAAAAATTTAATAATAGTAATTAAATTAAATAGTTCGTGACTCCGGATTCGACTAAGAGCGGTGTTTTAAATAGTTTGTGTAAATATATATAAATATAAAAATATAATATAATATATGTAAAATATATTATACATATATAAAAATATAAAAATATAAACCCCAAAAGACTCAAATAACTATTTATAACCACATTCGTAAACTTTTAAATTTTTAGTTGACATCTTGAAGTCGCCATTTCGAATTATAAAATTTTAACCCAATATTCTAATTCAGTGTCTCCAAAAACCCCCAAATGCTCATTTCTAGCCAAATCCAAAAACTTTAAAATTTTTTCGGTCGCCATTTTGAATTTTAAAACTTTAACCAGATATTCAAAATCAGCGACCCGAAAAACCCCCCAAATGAGCATTTTTAGTCAAATCAGAAAACTTTTAAATTTTTAAAGCCGCCATTTTGAAGCCGCCATTTTGAATTTTTTAATTTTAACCAAATATCCGAAATCAGCGACCCCAAAAACCCCCAAGTGAGTATTTTTAGTCAAATACAAAAACTTTTAAATTTTTAAGCCGCCATTTTGAATTTTTAAATTTTGATCAAATATTCGGATTCAGCAACCCCGAAAACATAAAACATAATAATATCAAGTAATAAAAAAAAAATTTTTTTTTGCACATTTGTGGCACGAAAAGCTTATTTTGACTACACTGCTAAGGGGTTAAATGAATATTTACGTGAATTTAATAATTTTTAATTGTAAATCAAATAAATTGTATTTGAACCAATAATTTCAGTATTTCGAGCAAATACTATTTAATTGACTTAAATAAAGATTATTCGCCATACATAAATATTTAAGGGCATTTGAACCATTATGACGTCACAATTTGTTCAAAGCATTTGTTCTAAAAATGTGACGTCATAATGTTTCAAATTCCCGTAATAATAGAAAAGTTCAAATTGAATCAAGTAAATTTTTTGTTTTTCATCTGAATTTTTGATTTATTAAAAAAATGTTTTTTAGATTAAAAAAATTATAATCGGTTCTTTGATAAGGACCTTCAGTTTCAGTACTTAAAGTAAATAATATTTAATTGACTTAAAAATTATTTCATACAAATAAATATTTATTTTATGAATAAACAAGTGATCGTTTATTTGAGTCAAATAATTTTTTTTCAGTGTATTTAGAAACATTTAAATATTCACTGAAAAAAAGTTTTATTTGATTCAACTAACCGATTATTTGTCTATTATCAAATAAATATTTACTTGAATTAAATAATTTTTATTTTAATCAAATAAATTATATTTGAATCAATCGAAAAAAATAAAATAATTTCAGTATTCAAACTAATATAAAAATTGACAGTAAACCAAATTAAGAATAAAAAATAAAAACAAATTTAAAATGAAAATATTGAAACACACAAGATTACAATTAATTATGAATTAGATAAGAATTTAAAAATGATGTAAAAATTCAATTATGACTCTATAATAAAATAAATCTTGAGAAAAGAATATAAATTCCTCTGAATAATTGCATATTGCTTAAGTTTTAATTTATAATATGAAGCGCTTTTATTTTTTTGGCAAGATTTTGGAGTCAGAATCTAAAATAATTACAAAAAAGATAAATAAATAAATCTGACAAATAAGGATAAGAACACTGAAAAAAAATTTTCAGTAAAATTTGAGTCCTAATTTTATTAATAATATAATTGAGTATTTTATTTAGATAATTAACTAAATAAAATACCTACATATTTAAGTCATTGAAAATCAATGACTTAAATAAACGATTAATTGAATCAAATAACTTTTATTTAAGTAGGAAATTTTTTCAAAAAAATTTTTTTTTTAAAACAATTTAATTATTATTATTGAATAAATTATTGTATAAAAAATTTGTTTACGTATTCTAATAATTAAATATTTAAATATTATGAAAAAATGTTTATATTTATTTATGTTTATATCAAAATATATTAAAGATTTTTTAAAAAGTATTTAGATAGGTATTGTATAAAAAAGTTGTTTAAATATTTAAATATTGTGAAAAAAAATTTAGATATTGTATGAAAAATGTTTTCAAATATTTAAATATTGTATAAAAAATGTCTCCTTTGAAATTATTATACTGGAATTAAGTGACCCAATTTCCACTGAATCTAATTTTAAATTATTTTAAAAATATGTTAAACATTAAAAATAAGAAATATTGAGTTCTTGAAAACGTGAGAATGTGAAGAATTCAAAACAAGAATGTTGAGATTTAGAAACGAGAAATATTATTTAAATATTTCTTATCGTATACATATATGTGATAGAAAAACCCGTTCGACCAGATAAATACGAATGAATTAATTGCACTTGCACTTTAGTAGGTTTTTGTGCTGATAAATGAAAATAAATTGTAAATAAACCTAACAATGACATAATTAACAATCAGAGGAAAAGTGATTTCTGTGAAGAAGAGACTACAATATAATAAATATAACTTCATTGTTAATTATTGCGTCAAGAATGACACAGATATTATTAATTGAAAATTTAATATATTTCGCTACTTAAATAGATTTCCACGAGGGAATTGTCTACACTGTGTGGTTTACTTTTGTCATTCTATATAATATATACGTATAGGTATAGAATGGCAAAAGCAGCAGGCAAAAGTTTTTGAAACAAAAGACGATGCCGATTATGACCCAGTTTTATACAGTCAATGGTCACGCGCGTCTATAAGAGAGAAAATTTTGTTATAATAATAATATATACATGTGTACATCTGCAAGAGAAGAAATGACTATGTGTATATATACTAGAAAC